TAATCTTAGGCTATGTAAGTTAGAACTCTATACATCCATCAAAACGGTTGCATGTCATACAAAGGCTTATTCACTATGGAAACAATAGCAGATAAACATGATGAAGTGCATGATGAGACGCATGAAGTGAGCTAATAGTTGATAATCTTTCAGTACAAAAAGAGACGGATTGTATGGTGAACAGCTATATCTCCAGTACAATTTAACTCAAACTCGTGCATTCTGCCTTCATGCAGAGTGCGTTGCATATTTCACAAAACCCCAGTAACCATCAAGATAACGCGTTTAGATGGAAAGTGCACAAAAGCACTGTCTTGAATATTTAATTAGCTCTGAATCCTCAAAAATTGTTCTTCAGTTCATTTCACTCTTTCCCACAAATCCCCACAAATCCCCAGAGATGGGAACAAAGGCTGATGGCCTTGTTGGAGTCTGTCCACCTCCTTCAAGGCTATCACCTTGACACGTCTTAGGGTGTACTGCCTAGTACAGCATCACTGCTGGGAATATGTGAAGACTATTGAGCAACGGCAGGGCAAAGCAGGTTTGGTCAACTTGCTTTGTATGGTCACTGTCTTGGATGATTGGCTTTTACCAGATCACTGATTTTCAACAAGATGTATAAGGTACAATGTCTACAGATGGTGAGCGCTCTACTAACTGGGGAGTTTGGACAGAGGTTTGACACTCTTGATGTGGTATCGTCTTGATGTTTCTCACAACGTGTGACGCTGAAGAAGTACAGCTGTGCTGCGCTCAGATTTCGGGTTGATGATACAGCATTACTATTGTATGTTCAGTTAACCATACGAGGCTGGTCTAAGAAAAAGGTTGTCTCAGGAAAGTCTGTCCAGCTCTCTTCAGATAGCCTTTAGCTAGACTCGAGTGTGGTTGTCTTAACCGCTGCTGGTGATGGAAGATGACCTCGAAGCAGTGCTGAAGATGGAGTCTTGGGTAACGACTGCGAGTCCTCAGAAGTTGTCGACTGCGAGATTGACAATCACACGAGATCTGTCCAGGTTGAAGATTGTCTGAAGGAAGTCTGTCCAGCTTCCTTTAGACGACCTCGGTCTGAACTCAAGTGTGGTCGTCATGACTGCTGTTGATGATGGAAGATGGACCTCGAAGCAGTGCTGAAGATGGAGTCCTTGGTACCTATAATGAGTTCTCATGCTACAGCATCATGATTGGAAGCTTGGTCAAGCATACGAGGTCCGTCCAGGATGAAAACTATCTGAAGCAAGTCTGTCCCACCTCCTTCAGATTACATCCGTCTGGACTAAAGTATGGTTGACATGACTACCATTGGTGATGAAAGGCTGAGCTCAAAGATGACACCATTGACTACTGAAGTGGCTGGAGTTAGATAGTTAGATATTGTTCGTGTATATCAGTCCGAGCCATCCTGGAGGGATTACGTACAGATGCAGTTGTGCGGTATCCACTGGGATTGGCTCACCATTTGTAGTTGTAGACTGGCACTGTCTCTACTATACTGTTCAGGTAGTTGCTGACAATTTAGTGAGCTGCTCTGTGGCTTGAGACTTCAACCTTGGAGATCTCAAGGCTCAGACTTCCTCACTGTTGTCTATAACTATCTAAACAGGCGTGGTAGAAGAGGTGAAACTGAAGAAGAGGGAAGTACGTTCATTTGGATACAGCATGGTAGGAACAACACACATACATCGAGTGCATACCACTCAACGGCTGTTGATGGAGGTGATGATTGTTGAGCAGAATCATTGAGTGTGTTTAACGACCCTCTGTATGGCCCAGGTTGTAGAGATTGGCAGGAAAGAAGAGAAAGGTCTTATTAGTTATTTTACAGAAGGAATGATCAAAATCTTAGCAGCTAGGCAACTTAAGATCTATGTAATTATATCATGCTAAGTTGCTCATAAACAACTGGTTAGGCATGAATCGTGGAGCAAAAGAAGAACAGCCATAGTACTAACAAGACGTACACTACTGATTATGAGAAATCTGATATTGTTTTGGAGTCACCGAGTCAGTGAACTAGTCACTCCGAGATTGACATCTACATGTCTGTCAAGAGTTGTGGAATTGATGAAAAGTCACCGAAAATGGAAGCTACGCAAAGCAAAACACCAAGATAAGACATCTTTGAAAGGGAGATCCAGATTCTACATAGCTAAAACATTACAGAGATTTTAAATCATACGAAATGAATGCTAATGAAATTTTTTACCCTAGTTAACACAAGATTGCAAGCTGGCCACTGGTTATTATGCATGAAACTTCCCGTTAGATATTGAATCAATAATTGTACACCATTTCATTCGTAACATGTTCGAGTGCTTCAGCCAACACATTGCTTATTGACTCGTTGAATACAAACCTATTCATATGCTTTATTGGAATCTCCAATTTCTGTTTCCCAAATCTGTCAAAGACGAACATCACATCTCTTGGATAAACTCCACCTCCCACAGGGTCCAGTACGTTGAAATTCCTCATAGCCATTGTACTGTTGATCAAAGGAAATCTGTAGCTGTTTTCGGAGACGTTTGAGGATATACCTATAATATTGGCATCGTAATGCTTCACCAAGGATTCGTAATTCTCGTTAATATCATCAAGGTATCCATTCATAATGCCAAAGAATACCAGCACTAGCGGCTTACCGTGAGACCTAAATTTTCTTCTCACAGTTTCTCCATCACGTTGGACAAAGTCTAACAGGGAATCTTCAACCAGGTCGTTAAAATCGTGGTTGATTCTCTGGTCCCGTGACCGTTTTCTTCTGTTGTGGTTTATTACCAGGTTCTCTTCTTCCTCGTATCCTGAAGATTCCGGCGACGGTGGAAGCTCCATAGTATTATATTTTCTCTTCATAACTTTCAGATTATAAATTAAAAGCCGTGAGAAAGTGAGAGGTGGGAACAACAGCCACTTATACTTCCGAAATGTTGGAAAGCAGTCTTTGTAAGTAGAACTGTACGGATCGAGAGGTATGTCGACCGAGCTATCTGCAGTTCAAATGAAATGACCTGTGTGATACGTATAGCAAATTAAAATCTATGACGCGGTGATACAACTGGCGATCCCCTCCTAAACTGGTCCACTGCCTTTTCCCGTTGTCCTTTGAGCTCGAGCCCACGACAAACTCCCTCAATCTGCTATGCCTTTTCCCAAGAGTCCCCCTGTCCAAGCACTCACGATGGTATTCCCCTAATAGAATGATGTCCGCAGAGCCGTTAAACTGTTATGACCTACACACAACCTTCGAGTTTCTTTTCTCCTCTGTCCTATGCTGTCCAAAGCCAATTACCTTCTCCGCTATTCTCTTCTCCGCGTTGATCAAATCAATCACAATGACTACAAGGAAAATGGAAACCTCTGCAGAGTTTGGATAAACGCCCTTCGTTGCATCAACTTCCTGTGCCCCTTTTAACAGCAAAAGGCAAGCCAGCTGGTACTAACCAGAAATGCACTTTGAAGGAGGGAGATGAAAAATTTCTGATCCAAAGACCCAATAAAAGGACTAACCGCGTCCTGCATATTTCCTAACACAGGCAAAGAAGCTACGAGGAAAGCCGGTGTTTACATGTTTCCCAATTAGGAAGTGTAATTAATCCAAGCAAGTTGGCGGAATGACGAAATGACCAGAGGCGTGAGAATTACATCCAAACACCACGATGCAGTCGCGGGGTAGGAAGAAAAGAAGGCGGTGCGTGCGCGTTGGCGCTTTTCTCGTTTTTTATGTGTCAGTTTTCCCCTTCCCGCGTTGCTTATTGTTGCTTGGTGAATGATTGTGAATCTGGATGTGACTTATCATTGCTTTTGAATTAGTAATCTGTGGTTTTATTAGCAAGCGAATTTAGGCAGTAGTCGCAGTAGTTTCGGGATGCATTTGTCAGATTCTAAAGTAAGAACTGGAAGGAGTTAGTTACTCAATTTTTGTTTTACATGTTTTGTGAGAAAAAAAGGTATTTCAACTAGTCATTCTAAAAAGATGATGTTTCCATTATTCACCCCAATTTAGAAGAAAAAAATTCCCCCTTATTATCAGATATTCACGTAGAGAACATCAAATCTCTAATGTAATCCATCGCCAACAGGGCTTCCCAACAAAATGAAGTAACCATTGGCTGGTACAATAATATCAACCCCAGTATAGACCACTGCGGCACGGGTTAACCCAGACATCCATTTCCGCGAACTCGTTTTACATCCTGCCCACCGCCGTGCTGTGTCGTTTGTGCGCTGCTCTTTCCGCAACCGAGCGCAAAACGAACACAGATGGCGGTGATTTCGGCGGCACCAACAGCCACAAACAAACAAACAAAAAACGTACACTACATCAACAACAACAAATCACGCCAACAGATAGAGACGATAAGACAGATCGGTCAACTCCTACTCAAAAACAATGAAACTTTTGGTGAAGGAGAATCCACGTACCTTGGCGCTGGTGTCTAGGGAAACGGTGCTCGTCTTCCGCCATTTTGAAACTAAGAACAAGGAGAGCCGCTGTGCTATTGAATTCTTGCCGAAGGGTGATATCGAGCTCAAACACTACAAAAAGCTGACGGATCGAGAGATTGGTGGGTTCTTAGGATTCATAGAGGTCAATGGTGACACGTTCATATGCTGTATTAATGGCTCTACCCGTGTTGCGATGCCTGTGCCCCACGAGAGCATCAACAAGATCCATAGTGTGGATTTCTACTCGGTAAACAATGGCACCTGGGATTATGTCGAGTTGGATAGCAACGGGTTTCCAATCATGCCGGAACAGGACAGCACCCCTGGTGAATACGGTTCCGGGTCAAATGGACAATACGTCAAACATCCATGCCAGGATTTGAGAAAGCTGTTGTCATCTGGAGGGTTCTACTACAGTTCCGATTTTGACTTGACAAGCTCATTGCAAGCCAGAGGTGTTGGCAGCCACTCACTGAGCATGGATAAGTACAAAGAGGAGTATATGTGGAACTCGTTCATGTTACAAGAGATGGTTGAATTCAGAAACAGATTGGACCAACAACTAAAGGAGAAATTGGACGATGAAGGATTTCTAACTACTGTGATTCGTGGGTTTGCTAAAACCGTTCAAACTTCAGTGGAACATGACAAATATGCAATGACAATCATTTCAAGACAGAGCTGGAAAAGAGCCGGAACAAGATTTAATTCAAGAGGTGTTGATGATGAAGGTTACGTGGCAAACTTTGTTGAAACCGAGGTGATTTTGTTCTCCAAGAAGATCTGTTATTCTTATACCCAGATTCGTGGTAGTATACCTGTGTTTTGGGAACAGGATACAGCGCTGATCAACCCAAAGGTTCAAATCACAAGATCGGAAGAGGCTACCCATCCAGTCTTTGTAACACACTTTAAACGACTCTTGGAGGAGTACAACGCTATCAACATTGTTAACCTCTTGAGTACAAAATCTTCTGAATTACCCTTGTCGCAGAGATATAGAAGCCATGTCAAACGTATGATTGATGATGGTACCTCAGATCTATACATGACTGATTTCGATTTCCATAGGGAAACATCTGACAAGGGATTCTCATCGGCAACAAAGATTTATAACTTGATTAAGGAATCACTATACGAGTTTGGTTATTTCAGTTACGAAGTTTCATCCGGAAAGGTGTTGAGTGAACAATCTGGTGTGTTCAGAACAAACTGTTTGGACTGTCTCGATAGAACAAATTTGATTCAACAGTTCATTTCCAATTTTGCTATGACAATCTTCCTGAAAGATCACAAGAGATATGTACCACAGGAGTCTCAGTTTTTCACTCATCACAACTCGTTATGGGCTGATAA